ATGACCATTGAGTACCACGATTGCTGCGGAAATCTTCTGACTTTTGAAAAAGATATTTTTCGATAATTTTGACTACTGAACTATGATGCTGTACTACTTGTTCAACTACAAGCACTACCTTTGTTGACTACTACTTCCCAAGCAGCAGGCTTCTGTGACTGCTGTTGTCTATAAACACCCTGTGTCGGAGGATGTCAAGTCGAGGGAACCGATTATCCTATTTCGTTGCTTTCATGCTGTTATGTATAGAATTAGTGACTTCATCATCATCATCGAGTTTGCCATTATTCCATTGTTCTCCGAAGATGCATTCTTAACAAGAAGCCCAGCATGAGTATTAGTAACGCATTAGGAATCGGTGTTGTTGTGGTATGAATAACAGGAAAATTCATACTAATGATAATAGTAAGCAAACAGACGATTGACCTTGTGAGCTCCTGGTAGTTCTCTCTTATCGTAGTTAAAGCTCCGTTTGAGGTCGACGAAAGTCTAGTATTGTCCTTGTTATTGTCTAACAACACTCTATTGTGTGTCACCATGGTTACCATTATTGTCTTAACTTTTTCTCTCGTGCGCTTTTCTTGCAATTTCACAATCCGCACAGAAATAAATATCGAGGATTTGTCCGATTCTCGAGTTGCATTAGCATCAGCCCTTATAACGGTTGTTGTTATTGTCGACTACTGGGCATTTCCTATGATTGTTGTATCGGCGTCATCGACTACTGCGAGAATGAGTGGTCGTTGATATTATTATCAATCGCGAGTTCAAAGGCTGACTCGCTACAATGGCGTTGAGTCGTCGTGGAAAATGAGGTAACTTAGCAACAGGCATGTTTTTGCGTTGGGGTTTTTGGTGCTTTTTTCCTGAGTAGTTGAGCTACGCTATCATATTTTCTATGACCTGTTGTCATCGTCGTTTGAGGAGCCTTATCGCTGTGTTTATCACGATGGTATTTCTGTGTGGTTCTGTTGAGGTTGTTGAGAAGCAGCCTCATGTTGCTGAAATATATGCTTCGATGGTGTTCAGCGTTGAACTGAAGCAACAGAAACTGGATAGAAGACTTAAACGTAAGAAAGTGTTGTGAATGGTTATGTACGCAGGTATATGGTGTATTGGAGTTTCACAACAACCCGTTTTACGTGAAGTGGCGTAAAACTCGGTGAAAAACGCGATATTCGCGGTGATATGCAGTAGTCGTGAAATATAGTTTTCACTAGTGTTTTTCATATCACTAGGGTGAATTTTTATTGATAATAGATTACTAATATCTGTATGATTTATAAATAACCTTTTTTTTACAACATTTAATGTTATCATAATACCATCATTCAGGGAATGTCCTATTGTCTGCAACTTGCAGAATTCAACGAATTTCTTAGCGAGAGACAGCTCATTAGAGAGATCTTGGCGAGCGCTTCTCAATGGTATCTTCGAATTCCGGATATGCTTTGGCCCTGCCGAGCATTCTGCAATCAGGTTACGCAAAATTGTTCAAAATCCATGCAAAAAAGGTTCAGGCCGATTTCATCCTGGCAAATCAAGCCTATATGGCACTAAGCATATCCGGAATTCGAAGATACCACTGAAAAGCGCTCGCCAAGATCTTCCTAATGAGCTATTTCTCATTGGGAAATTCGTTGAATTCTGCTAGTTGCAGACAATAGGACATTTTTTTTGGGGGGGGGCCCTGTATTATCTACTGCGTTGCTTTCCTTCAAGTGGGAAGTAAATATTTTTTAGATGTTCGTCCAGTTTTGGTGCTGATCGAAGCTTGTATTGGTTGATCTCCCGATCTAGGTCTCGCAAGTCAGCTCATTTTTGTGAGCTTGATTCGTATGGGAGCTACAACGGCTGCTTTTATTATTTTCTGTGTTTGTCGGGAAAATTGAAGCCAATATGATATGTACACGACTGTTATTCCACAACAGTGAACGGATCTTCAGTGTACTCGTTGTCTCAACGACTACTTGCGCATTAATCGGTGTTTAGTAATTTCTCTGATTTTATCATTCCGTTTTATGCTGGTTAGATAGTCTATGTCGCTGAGCTTTGCTCACTGCTCTACTGCAGTTTGTGACGGATTGTCTCTTTTCATCGTCCTTACGAAGAAGAATCTCTGAACGGTAATTTCTGTCCCGCAGTAACCGACTGGTATGTTATTATTCATTTTATGAGTACTGCTGTAATTGAAAAAATGGTTCACATCAAGTTTGTTCGACGACTTGGTTTTTTGTTAGGGTGTAGTGGTGATTAATCGCTCTAAGATATTCGCCTTTTCTCATGGCTTCTCTTGCTTTGTTTCTACGACGGCTCTCCATACCTGTGATGTTCTTCGTCATGTTGATCATCTCAGGTCAAGTTGTCTTGGGTAACAACAACAGCACAAGGCTGCTGAATTCTCATGATGATGATACTACTACTTCTACTATCGTTACACCACATGTAACGACAACGCCAACTATCCCTACTGCTACACCAACGTTGTTGTATCATCATTTCTTACATCACACATTATCATCATCTGCTACTACTACTAGTGCAACAGAGACTCCACGTATTCCGGTGTATGCTAAGGTTGATCGCGTAACAGCAAGCAGCAGCAGCAGCAGTATGCCTGAAGAGTTAGAGGAGTTGGTTAGCTCGCTGCAGGCTAGGCAAGCGATGAAGTATTCCTCCTCGAGACGTATTGGTGTTGATGAGAAAAGACCGGGAGAAAATGCAGGTGAGAAATTTGGTCGTGACATGATCGTTGCGGTGGAATTGACACAATGAATTTTCGGCAGTGGACGATTTGATAGAAAACCAAAATCACTAATGAAACCATGAATGATAATGATATCGACAATTTGGAACCATTCACAGTATGAACTTCACACTGGATGGTTTCAGAATTTATTTTTTTTGTACTTTCACCCGAAGTCTGACTTTTCACGTCAGCAAGTTTTTGACATTGCAACTCGTTATAGTACTCACCGATTAAACAGAGGGATATTCCCCAAAGAGGTCTTGCCTACGTGGCTTGTTTATTGGTCTGAATGGAAGAAATTGTGGTATTTCAAATATTTGGGGTAAGTTCTTGGTGTTGTTGTTGTAGATATTTTTGGCATTCTTGAAGCTATAGAGGCTCAGAAGAGTACCAATACGGACTAGAAAATTATCGTTTACTCATGCTCAAGATGGAGGGAGGTGCTCGTTCACGACAAGTCGTTTCGAATCAGTGTTTGCCTCTCACCTGTCTTGATAAGCTTCCCTATTACTACTCCCAGTGGCTGGCATCATCATCGTCGTTGCTGTCGAGGCCCCACTTAGCAGCGTGTTTTACAATTTTTCAATCAAGTTCTGCGGCACAGCATTTGGGGATTCATTTTTATTTCCTCTTTACGCAGTTCGCTACGTAGCAAGTTTCAAGCCAAGTGATAGTAAAAACACCTTGTAAGAATTTTGAGTCTCTCGTGATGATGATGATGACTATCATTATCATTCATATGGTCGTATGTCGAGACTAGCATTCGAGATTGACGCGACGCCAGAAGTTGTTCGATTCAGTTCTGGGTCCCGCCGTGTTAAATCTGTTTGCTACATTTTGATATTCTCGATGATCATGAATATTTGATTTTACCTCCGTGGTTTAAGTAGTGCAATGTTTTGCCGCGCCTTCACCGAAGTGTCTGTCTTGGTTGCGAAATAGTAACTCCTGCTTCAGCGTGGCACTCTACGTGAGTCCCCTCGATACGGGGTACAGTTGACGGTTAGTCTCGCGAAGTAGTGGTAGTAGAAGTCTAGTCTAGTTATAAGCAATTCTGTTGATGAATATTGTTATTGCTGCGAGTGGTAGTTTTGTCGGTAGATCACCACGATAATTTTCTGTGCTTTTGTAACTCGTGATGCTCTCCCTGTTACTAATGTTGCCTTCCACAGTCAGTGGACAGCCTCTTACCGATAGTCTGTGATGCTTCGGTGAGTTACTACTAATGCTAGTAGTAGTACTATTGCTAGTATTACTTGTGCTGCTGCTAGTGCTGGTCTCAAGTGCTCGCTTTGGTGGAGTGGCAACACTGGTTGCCGTGTTGATAGTGCATGAGTGTCCTCTCCTCTCCGACTACTATCCCAGTGTTTTGTCTTGTTGTTGATGATTCTAGTGAACTGCTTTGATCCATCATGCGAGACATGTCGCTGTCTCTAATTCTCAACGACGCTGCTGCTGCTGTCAATATTCATATTCCAACATACCACAGCTAAAAGAACGACATTTCATTATCATCTGTTCCGGGCTGTGGGAGTTGATATCAGTTCCCTGTTGGTGTGCCTGTAAAAAGCATCAGAAAAACTCAGTCGGTACTTGTGGTTTGTGTGATGACGAATTGTCATGTCTTGTCTGTTATCATACTTGTGTCAAGTTCCTCGTTGTTGGGAACTTGTTCATGTCGTGACTGCCACTGTGCGCTGTCGCTTGCTATTGTGAGGGTCGCTGCACATCGGTTGTCTCGGTATAACATACTAGTCGTTGTCGTTGTGATTGTAATCACCTCATTTCATTCGTGGTTTCACTACTTTACCCTCTCCTTTTGTTATACCCAATTCCTAGCGTGATTTTCAATAATGCTCAGTGTGGGCGGGGGAATATATGCACATGTGTTGGTAACAGTATGAAAATTGTTGGAAATTCCGAGAAATTATTACTACTATTCTTGTGCAGTACCCCTCCGACTAGGCGAGTAGTAGCCAGTATAGAGGTATAGCTACGACCGACCAGTACGGATTCACCTCCAAAAGGTCAACCGACACAGCATGGAAACATCTTTCGAGTGGTAAACTCTCATCGGTGATGTATATTGCTATGGTGTGCTGTCTTTGCATAATGTAGTGAGGAAACTGAATAGTGTATTTCTACATGTGCATTTGGTGGTTACTCTTTAGTTTTCCAATCTTTGACTATGCAATTCTGCCGGTTTGCTTTAATACTCGTACTATCTTTAGTGACGCTAGTGCGGTCTTACATGCCTCCCGAGGGAGGGGTTTTCGAAGTGTACCAAGAAATGTTATCTGAAGTCGCTGGTAAGCGAGTTTCGAAGTTTGGTAGGGAAGCTAACAGTAAGTGTTATTATGATCGTTGAATGATTATACGTTTTCACTTGTGTTAGATTACGAGCATGTACTGCATGTTCTGGAGGCGAGTACGAGATATCGATGATTGTCTGTCAACTTCAATTGAAACGGTCCTTGATAATGAGCAATACATGATTGAAGTTTATTAACGTCAGATGCGCTATTTTTGGTATTGCTAGTAGTTATACGGTGTTATTATTGTGAATCTTAAATGTGAAAATTTCGTTTCGTTTTTCATACTACTTGTGCGAGAACAAAAGCCGGTCATGCTATACATAGTGAACTCGTACAGAGTTTAAGAATTTTATTAATTTTTTAGTTGAGATTTTCTTTGGTTGATACCATTTGAAGTCGTTCAAGTTGCTTATTGCTACAATTAAGAGTGGTTCATTGTATAACGGTCGGCGCATCTGACCATTGAGTTTGAAACTTCATATAAGCGTTGAGTTTGATTGGTATAAATAGACGTGTATCAGGAACTCTACGCTTTTGCCTTCTCATTGGCTGTGCCGTCGTTCTCGTCGGTGAAATGCGCTCCCTTCATCGTCGCCTCGCATTGTGTCTCTTCGCCACACTATTCGTTGCCTCTGCCTTGCCGTATTCTGCTGGCAATAGTCGAAGACCATCTGCAGTGATGGGAGTTGGATACCCGAATGCTGAGGCTCAAATTGACCAGCTGGTCTCGTCCCTGGGCTCGCTGAAAGCGTCAACGAGAGGAGATAGGAAGAGTCCAAGTAAGCAATACGTAGTTGTGAATCTACTAGTGTTGCAAATAGGTGTCGATGAGGTTCTGAAGGCCATCGAGATGGGCACGAGTGTTGGGCGTTAGTCGCCATCCTGGAGTTATTTTGCGTTACGCTACTTTGTCTATTTCCGTTCAATCACTTCGACTGATACTGTTCTGCCCAGTTTCGTTTATACCGGATCATTGTGACTGCTGTTGCTGCTATTGTTGTTGTATGATCTGAAAGTAGTCACTGTTGTTTCCGTCGGTTGATATAAGTTTTGGGAAGAGGGGAAACTGTTGTAGGTATTAGTCGTAGAAAAACACCTTCCATCTTCTAGAATTCGACATGTACCCGTTTTGCAAGCGTAGCAAAGCTCGCTCGAAGTCGGGTTACCGCCACGTATAAGTGACATCACTATCGTTTGGGCGATATTCAGCTTCCATCTGTGGACTTGCTGTTTATCCGTTAGTCTCCGTATGCCCATTGAATTTTCAATAAACTAATATTGTTCAATGGTTTGTATTATCTCTGAAGATATAGTGTTCGTTGTCCGTAGATCACGCAAGATGCTGTTCCGGATGCTGTCCATTAGATCGATCTTCGCTGATGAGATATACCCACTGAACTGATAATTCCCCATACGCTGTTATTTGGGTGGATACATACGGAGTTGGGTTAATAACTGTTGTCAATACTTCGATACAAACCTGCTATATAGACGAATACTCGTCTCTCGCTCTAACTCTGTAACAGTTTGTGATGGATAATGCGTGTTAGTATATTCGAGGTTTCAGATTCGTAATCGTCGAATCAGCGAAGTAACAACATTTTCTCATTTCGGACTCTCGGATTGAACACGCTGTAAGCGAGCAGGATAATCCTCCAGATACTGTCATGCTCTTTGGACGAAATTGAATGATCGAATTTCGGATTACCTAAACAAAGTCCTGAGCTTAAACTTCAAAATTAGAGCCTCGTATTCTAGATAGTGTTTGAACTACTACCCTACGTGCCACTGGAATTATTCGATGTTGGGAATCTTATCTTTGGACTTTACAATCGAAACGCTCCTTAACGATGCATGATCGAATACTCACGTCTTGCTTAAGCTTCGACCGACTTCTTCAGCGATTGCCTCCATTCTCGCGGATAGTGGGATGTTGATGCAGTGCGTCGGTTTTGTTCATGAAACCGCGTTGGTATCTTGTCGGGCGCTTGTGCAACGAAACGGTCACTCACTATGATCTCGTTTCTCATCGATTCTTGGTGAGGTTAATCTCGTTTGATCTCAATGTATTTGATGAAGTAGGCCCCCGCGACGCCGCTGATTCTGTCAAGGGCTATCGCTTGGTTCCATTAAGTCTGACAGACCGACGTAGTGTGTGTTGGTATGCTCAGTGGTGGATGAGCAGCCTTCCGAAAACTGTTATGTAGATTCTTTGCATTCCCATGCGATTTCTTTGTCGTCCCCTCTTCCTCCTTTCTGCCTTGTTCACCGTGCTTCCAGCTGGTGGGGTTTCGGGTTTCTCGGTTGAACAAGTGTATCACCAAATGATGAGCGACTTGACTGCAAGGAGAAATGAACAACTATCTGTTCGTAGGGTGGAGAAGATCGCACGAGGAGTCGCCGGTAAGTTGGGCGGAAATGGCACATATTTATTATTTCCAGGACACTTGCATTTTCAGGGATGTTTCTTGTCAGGTATTGCTGCCGGCCTTGGCGCGCAGGTTAAACAAGAGTGGAGATAAACTCGATGAGTATTCCGGAAGACTTTATAATCAACGTGAAGTTGGTGCGTATTATTAGACGAAGATGTGACTTTAGCTGTGTATACCGATTATTTATTTCGATCGCTATTTGATACCTTTTCATTACATTGTTCGGAGATGTGCTCTCTCGAACGTAGAACAATAATTTGTGAATGTTCGTCGTCGCATTGTAAGGCAGATGACTTTTGGGTAACGGAAGATCATGGAATCACCTTGGGGATTGAGTTGTGGTCATAGTGAGGCTGTGATGGTCATCGTCTATCATGTTCATACGATAGCATAGTATGGCCACTGAGGGGAGCTGTATGTCCGTATCTGGCTGTCAACGTGTGCAATTTATACAACGGAAACATTGGTATCCGGATGTCTCTCGATTCGGAAGTTTCGAATTGGCAAGTGAATGGAAAAGCGGAGGATATTTCAGTGTACAGTGATCACATAAAGAAACCATCTAAAAATTTTCACAGAATTTTGTTTTAGTAGGATATACGATAGTAAAAAGT